TCTCCTCTCCTCTCCTCTCCTCTCCTCTCCTCTCCTCTCCTCTCCTCTGTCGCAGCTCTCCTGTCTTTACCCTCCCCCCAGTTAATTCCTATGCTTTAATACCATCTAAGAGTCCTTAGTGAGAAGAGGATCTGCTTGCCATGCAGGTGCAAGTTTTCAGCACCACAGCACAACAGCAATGCCACCCGCTCTGCCCTCCTCAGGGCTTCTCTTTGTGAACCACTTTTTCTTTTCTTCCTTTTCAGCTTGGTGCTGAACAACCCCATGCAGATAATCTGATTATGCTAATTTGTACTTCATGAACCCAAAGTAAGGGGATCTGCGGAGGGTGAGCTGGGCTGGGGATAAGGGTGGTGAGGGCAGGAGAGAGGTTTGGGAGGGGGGTGCACAGACAATGGGTTCAAGTCAGTTAACAAAAAAAGCCGTCTGTATTGCCAAACAAAGCACACTCCGGGTAACCCCTTGCTGCTCTTGACAATTTAGAGTGTCCCAAACTGGCCTGCACCACTGAGCAGAAAAGGGAACACGGAGAATATACAATGAAGGGGCACAATGAGAAGTCTGTTTCCTGTTGAATGTTGTTTTTGCTTTTTTTTTTTTTTCCCTTCTTAACTAATCCTTCCCAGAATCTAGTAGTTGGAAGTACAGTCCACAAATTGTTTGTCAGGTGGTAGCTATGGCACTAGACAACTTCTGAGTGCACATACCCTCATCTGTCCAGTTAGACTGATGATGCACTCAAAATGTATTGAGTAATGGGCAGTGACTTTGCAGACACAAGCTGACAACTCTCAACTTGGACTTGTCCCTCTGCAGGAGCTGATGGAGTCCCAGCTTGGTTCTTCATTGTCTTTGATGCAGCAGGAATTAGTCAGGAAACAACCCTGAGGGGAAAAAAAAAAATAAAGGGTATGGAAAAAAACATTTTCAAGATTAAAGCAATCCCAAAACTGTTTGCATTGGCAGGGAACTCCTGAGATCATCTGATCTAGCCTCCTGCTCAAGCCATGTCACCTAGACTTGTTTGCCCAGGACTGTGCCCAGTCAAGTATCTCCACAGATCCTTTGCTATTGCAAGGGAAAATAGGGAAGGAAGGAAGGAAGGAAGGCAGTTGTTCTGCACTCTGCCTTAAGTAAGACAGCTCCTCTGTCCCATGCAGAACAGACTATTTGTTCAGTCCTGAAGCCCTAAACAGAGTATCTCTGGACACCATTTTATAAAAGCAAATGGAGGAGGAAAAATTACTATCCTGAAGCTGTCATCCCAGGTCCAGTCTTGGGCTCAGTTGCATTTGCATTATGGTATTGCATGAAGTTTATGATGGGGTAGAAAACATGCAATATATTGCCAGCATTACTCTTTTTTTGTTTCAGATCTCATTTGCTAAATGTGTAGTGCATTATAAGGCCTGTATCAGTATTTAACAAAATTAGTTCTAAATAACACTGTGAATGGAGCGATTCAGTAAAGAAGCAGAAAAAAGGCATCAGAAATGTAAGATTACCAGTTTAAATTCAAATATAAAGAGTATTTTGAAATTGTCAGATGTATGCACTGTATGCATGCAAATGTGCCTTGCTTTTCTCTCTTTTCCCTGGGAAGCAGGGAAGCTTATCAGATGTGATCCAAACCAAACAGTATTTTTATGAGCTGTGTAATATTTCACATAAATAGATCTGATTAAAAACCAATTTTAAATCTGAGACAATCAGTAGTCCCAGAGCCTATGCTCCCTGAATGCTAGATGCCTGGAGCTCTTGGAACACTTAAAATTCACTGCTATCTAATGAACTTCAAAGACCCGGGCTTTTGCCCTGCTGACAAATGTGTAACAGAAAAGCCAGTGAATGCAGCAGGACTTAATGCAACGGAGTAGTTTGAGGCCTGTCATTTGTACTGTTTGAGGTCTTCCTGTATCCTTTTCTTCCCTTCTACAGCAGCTCTTGGGTGAGACCAGACTGGCAAGGATTTGACAAAGTAGATAAACAGAGTAAATAACATAATCTGGGGGAGAAAGTTTTGTTCTGTCCCCTTGTGTTTGTCCTGACCTGAAGGATGACCTGCCCCAAACCACTGCTTTTCCTAGCTTTTTTCTTATATAGTGAGTTACAGTAAGCAAGGATGTTTATTTTGCTATATATATATATATATACAGGGAGTTAAATGCAATGGGCTTTGGCCTCATTTGAAACTATTACGAAATATTAAACTATTAAGTTATATACATATGATGTTAATATATAAAAAACAATATGTGATGAATGTATTGCCAGCTGTGATTGATTACAACCTTGAAAGTAGCTAGCAGTGGCTATTTCTGACATGTGTTTTTCCAGAAAAAAGAAAATTCTGAGCAGCTGGATGCAGCAGGCCCACAACTGCTGCATTACAGTGATGAAAGGCACAGCAGGTGCATTGAGCACCCAGTCCTGAGAATCAGGTACCTACTGAGAGGACAAGGAGGTGCTCAGTGTTTGTTGGAGCTGAACCACAAATCAATACAATCACCAAAAGCTCACCTAGGGGACATTACTGGACAGTGACAGTACAGCACTCCTGCATGCCACTGCTGAGGGAAAGTCACAACTGCAGGGAAAGGCATCCTTTGAACCTTGGCTGGATCAGCAGAGGGTTGGAGCTTGTCTCAGTTCCATCAGCTGATCAGCAAGTGATATATTTGATGATGCAGTAGAGAGATAAGGTAATAAGAATTAAAGTCTACTCTATAAATCAGCTCCTTGCAGGAAGAAAACTGTTAAGGAACAAAATATGCTAAGAGAGGCCTAGCAGCCAAGATCCTAATTTTTGTTGAACTAAATTAACTCTATGTGAAGTCATGACTGAGTTTACTACTGCAATAAAGATACAAAACATTGGAGTACTTCTATTACAGACATACAAACTCTTTTCATATACTTTCATAGCCTGAAGCACACACTTTTGCCTACTTTTGTGTCCATGACTTAAGGGTAGACACCAGGGACCTCTTGGATAGAGCCAGCAGAACTGGCTACAGCTGCTACAGTCCTTGGCTTCACCTAGGAAAGAACACAGTGCTTCTGCTTCAAAGGCTGCAGGAGAAGAGAAATTTTAAATGGATCCTTTACTACCTGTGAGAATCTAATCTGCTGTGAGGCAGGATGGATCTGAGGTGTAAGTCAAAGATCTGATGTAAGTCAAAGAACACCACTGCCCAGATTAAAAAAACCCCACTATTTCTGCACTTTGCAATTTAGACTGGCATTAACCATCATGCAACGAAAATAAACTAGATTAATGTTGTGTTAGGAGAAACCTGACCATCTGAACTTCCTAGGATTTATTTTCTCAAATTTTCTCAGAAACTCTGAAAGGAGACAGGACCTGACCTTCTGTAGAAAAACTGGAAAAGAAGGAGGGCAGCCAGAGTGATGAAGCTGGAACATGCAAAAAGGTAAAGGTGGGGCCTGATACACGAGTTAGGATTGAAGGCATGCACAAGTAAGGTGACAAAAGGGAATGAATAGCCAGATTCTCAGCGAAAGACAGGAATCTGATATGTGTATTAAGACATGAGTAAATGCTGAGGATGCCATGGAGAAAGCAAGAAAACCAGACAAGCTGTGGGAAGTGATACTGAAAGAAATATACAGGGTTGATGAATATATGGTGCTAGTGAGAGAGGAAACAGCGGAAAATTTTCAAGAAGATTGAAGTAAGCAGCTTGATGGGGATAAAAAACTTTTGGGAAACAAAGAAACAAGGCAGAAAACTGTGGAGCAGAGTCAGAATTTGTTTGGAAGGAGACAGGACAGCAGTGTGGCACATGGCTACAAATCATAAATGTAGCAGGATGACAGGAGACAGTGGGAATGTCCATTTCCATATTGTGACAAAGATTACTATTTTAATCTGACTTGATTCTGATGCACAGATTTGAGTTTGTGAGATCTTCTTAGAAGATAAAAAAACTCAACCTAATAATTCATAGGAAGGGATTATTTCTAAGTTCCTGATTTGGGGAAGAAGAAGAAGAGTTTTGAGGCATACTGATGAAATATACTAAAGACGTTCTCCTCATTTTTTCCCCCCTAAGGCACTATTTTTGAACTCCAGGTCACTGTCTGTAGGGCCCCCAAGAGACATTACAAAATAAAACACTAAATAAACATATCCCACATTAAGCAGCAACTTCACCAGCTATACTTCCTTGCTAAGTACACAGACCTTTTCTTTCAAACACAAAAATTAGCATAATCTTGCTGAAAAGTACTCTGGAGAATGTGCAAGTTGGGAAACTATTCAGCATGTATTTACAGTGGGGTTTTTTAGGGTCAGGATAACATTCCTTGGGCAAGAAAATCAGTTCAGGCTTGTGCTTTGATTTCACATTGAGCTTTCCACTTACACAACACAACATTCCACCTTTGAAATTCTTACATGCACACTGTGCTGCTAAGGTCTCACTATTAGCCTGCTCCCAATAAATGAAGAAAGGGGCATTTGTTCTTTTAGTTTAAAATCAGCAAAACACAAAAAATTTTCACACACCACACTCACACACAGAGACAGGTGTACCTAGCTTACACACTAACACCATCAGCTCACACTGACACAGCTCTCTCAGCAACTGTACACTAGACTGAAGGATGAACAGGATTACTTCAGATGTTTTATTCCCTGCTGTCTTTAAATTATTGCTGAGATATCCAGGACAGTGGGAAAATTGATTAAATGTTAAGTTTTCTTATTTGTTACTCTACTTTTATTACACAGACTGTTTTCTGTGGTCTGATTTCTCTCTGGTGGCCTCCTCTGTTCTCGGTTCTGCTAAGATGCCACCCTGAACACACAGGAATCTCTCCCTGGTCACCAACAGCCTTAGAGAAACTGCTGCTCTTATTTCCTGCTGGAGGTAGAACACTCATAAAAATGTCTTTCTTGTTTAACTTGTGGTGGTTAACATGCTCTCCCACCTCACTGTTCTGAGATCCACCTCCACACCTGTTCCATCTGTGCTGTTTAACCCCAGTCACCAGCCAAGCCCCATGCAGCCACCCTCTCGCTCTCCCACCAGAGGGACTGGGGAAAGAACTGGAAGGGTAAAAGTCCACAGGCTGGGACAATGACAGTTTAATAGGGAACCAAAAGCTTCTCATACAAGCAAAACAAAACAAGGAATTAATTCCCCACTTCCCATGGCTGGGCAGGTGTTCAGCCATTCCTAGCAGAGTAGGGTCCCATCACACAGAACAGTGACTTGGGAGGACAAATGCCACCACTCTAAATGTCCCCTCTTCCTTTTCCCTCTCACTTTATACACTGATGATGCTGTCACATGGTCTGGAACATCCCTGGGCTCAGCTGTCCCAGCTGGGTCTCCTCAGCATGAGGAGGAGCAAAGGCCTTTGCTCTGTTCAATCCCTGCTCAGCAATAACAAAAACATCCCTGTATCATCACCCCTGAGCTCAGCACAACTCCAAAACACAGCCCCACACCAGCCTCAGGCAAAGAAATTAACTTTACTCCAGCCCAAACTAGCACAACTCTGCTTTGGAGTGCAACACTTCAGGTGCAGTGACAGTGCATATTATGTATTTGAGGACCTGACTAAAAATTGAAAGTTCAGGCAGGTATTGCTGATCTGCTGCAAAATAGCACCAGCAGAGGTATCACTGCTGGCAAGTTAAAGAATTTGGGCATCTCTACACAAATTGCAGGCACAGTGGGGCTGCAGTGCAGATGCTGATGGCCCAAAATGCGACTTTTTTTTTTTTCTTTTTTTTTTTTTTTTTGTCACTGTAGGCTCCTTGTGGTCACTGCCATTTTAATTTCCCTCCCTCTCCTTTTAAGTTCACATACTGATAGATATCCTGAGTAGTTTTCACTGCCTAGCAATGAAACGGATGCCACTCGGTGGGTATAAACCAGTACTGCAAGGAGTGAAAAAGACCACATCGTTTTAAATCCCGTCGGTAGCTCCGCGGCTGCAGCTGCACGGACACAGAGCCCCGCTCAGGGGGAAACAAAACGATGCTGAGCTGATTTCTGCCACAGCACGCAGCTTACTAATGCATTATGTCTCATTACCTACACATCGAGGCAAGTCGATATTCTGCTCTAGAAAAACTCGAGAAAAACAGACTCTGGTTTCTGAGTCTGCACAAAAGCACAACAGGAAATAAAAATGAGATTTGTTAATGACAACGCTAGTAAGAGATCACTTTGACTACATCAGAATCTCTTAATGTAGATTAAATGAAGATGGGAATGGCCAGGAAACAGAAACGAGCTGCATGCACATGGGTCAATTATCAGGGAGCAAATGAATCACTGGATGCACAGAAAGGAAGAGACACTGAGAATAGGAACTTATTCTGTGAATATGGTACTGATAAAAGAAAAATCAATGAAAATAATAGCTCGCTATTCATAGCAAGCTAAAATTATTCTGGGAAAAGTTCAAGTGTTTGCTATGTTGAGTGGCATAAACCTTTTCCCCAGAATGATTCAGCAATCTGTTATTTCTTGAAATTATCTCTTGGTAGACAAAGAACAAGTTCAAGAGCACCTGTGAATGTTGCACATCTTCAGACTGCTTTGCTTAACTTCACCATCCAGTGTGCAAAACTTGGAGCCTTTAAGAGTTCTTTTCACCAGTATGTGGAAGCTGAATGGAAAAGATAGGAACATTTATTAGGAAAATTTAGTAGGGAAAACCAGCCAAAAATTCACAAACTAGTAAACTGAAGGGAGCCTGGCAGAAAGATGGAGAGACTGTTTACAAGGGCACGTAGTGAGAGGACAAGGGGGGGAATGGCTTCATACTGAAAGAGAATAGATCTAGGTAAGATATGAGGAAGAAATTCTTCCCTGTGAGGGTGGTCAGACCCTGGCACGGGGTGTTCTGAGGCTGTGGCTGCCCCATCCCTATGGAAGAGTCCAAGATCAGGCTGGATGGACCTTGGAGAAACCTGGGATTGTGGAAGGTATCCCTGTCCATGAATGAGCTTAAAGGTCCCTTCCAACCCCAACACCCTCATTACATGAATTCACTTCAGATCCTCCGAGTCTGGTGAACAAAGAAAAAGCAAAGGTATCTTTGAAAATGTTTCACTTGGGCAGCTCACGAGCAAACTAGCTTTGCTGAAAATACTGTGGGGTTGGATATAGATCTTTAAGGAGGCACAGTTAGCCTCCAGTATCAAAATGAACATAAAGATGCATTAAAGATGCATTCTGCTGAGCGCTGGCAGCATCTGGTGTAGATTAATACCCTCAGTAAATGATAAATAAACGGCATCAACCTGGGAAAGACCAAATGTGGAACCGACCGTACACGCTAGTAATGCTAACTATTCTTGACGAGCTTCAGCAACATTCAACAGGAAAGAAAAAATACAGACAAAAATAATGTATCAGGGTAAGTGACGTGGGGGAAGCACCACAAACGCAGGAGGCGCTCTAAGGGCGGCCACAACCGATCTCAAACCGCGCAGGGAGCCGGAGCACCAGCGCTTTGCCCGCGGAAAAGGCAAACAAAAGGCAGGGCGCACACGGAGCGGCGCTGAGGGACCGCGGCGCTGAGGGCGGGGCCGCCCCGTGAGGCGGCGGGGCCGCCCCGTGAGGCGGCGCTGAGGGCGGGACCGCCCGTGAGACCGCCCGGGCCGCCCCGTGAGGCGCCGCCCGCCCCGCCCCGCCCCGCCCCGCCCCGCGCCGACGGCGGCCGCGAGCGGCCAGGCCGCGCCGGAGCGCTCACTGCCCGGGCGGCCGGTCCGGCTGCTCCGCGCCCGGCTATGGAGCTGTGGCAGGTGCCGCTGGGCTTCTCCCGCCTCCGCATGTTCCCTTTCTTCGACCTGGCGCATTATGTCGCCTCCGTGCTGGCGCTGAAGGAGCAGCGGGGTGAGCGGGGCGAGGCGGGACGGGGCGGACCGCGCACAGCCCGTCCCCGCGGCGGCGCTGCCCGGGCGTCCCGCGGGTGCCCGGCGGGCGGGATGGGGTCCCGAGGGGAGCGCCCTGCCGCCTCCCCCGCGGCCGTGCCGATGGCACTTCAGCCCGTCTGCCCTGAGCGCTGCCTCGCTGCCCACGCAAGACGCTTACCTAAACTTTTATCGCTTTCCAGAACTCAACAGGCGCTGGCGAAATCAGCCAAGAGTTTTGTTGGAGACCTTTTAGTTTTTTATTCAGTTACTTATTTGTCTCAGGAGTGAAAGCGCTGGGGCCCCTCGAATGTAGGTGTATGGGTTTATTTAGAGTAGGTGTGTGTAATACAGGCCAGTATCTCTCTGCCCAGAATTGCATCTGAGAGGAGAGATACTAGATTTGTTAATGACATCCTTCACACACCCTGTTTGTGCAGCAGGCTGTTAAAGCCTTTCTGCCTTTTAGGAAACAGCTCAGGACTCTCACGGGTAGGTCCTGTGCCAGTGGCTTGTCAGTGCTGTACCCTGTAGACTGTAAAGTGAATTTAGCAAAGCTTTCCACTTCCACTAAGGAGGTTTTTTATGAGAGTGCATCACGGCATTCCAGTCTCTGCCTGCTCTCTTCCAGAAAATGTTTTACGCTGTGGCTGTTAACCCCAAGGCTGTTTGTTTTTTGTTGTTTCAGTGTTTTGAGTTAGCTACTTGTGGCGTGGCTTTAGACATCTTTACAGTAACTGTGCGTCGCAGGTGACAACTGTATAGGAGACGGAGCTGGCTTTTGGGATTATAGTGCAAATCTTGGAGCTTCTGCTTGCCTCAGATTTCAAAGATTTTGTCTTTAGTGAGACCTTGTTCTTTGGTCCCTTCCTAAGTGTTCCAAGGTGAATTTCGACCTTCTGCTGAGGAAATGCACTTAACAGACTGTGAAGACTGGTATAAAGTGCTTATGTATTCTAGAATCTTCACCAAACTTTCTTAATGCTGCTAAAATTTTTGATGGGTGCTGGGCTGTGGTATTGTGTAATGTGTCTGTTCCATTTAGAAAGGGACTTTCTGACATCATACAATACCTTTAAACTTTCCTCTGAAATGGGCACACCTAAAGATGAGGATGAGAAGCCCATTTGCTTCACATCAGCATAGTTTTAGTGAGACAACACTTAGAAAAATAAAATTGCTATCAAAAGTCTGGTCAGATCCATGTGCCTATTTTTTTTTTTCCCTTCTCAGCTTAATAGCTGATAGTTGAGAACTCCTGACTATTTTCTAATACTTGGAATTAATAACTAATCCAGGTGACTGCCTGCTGGCCTGTTTCTCACTCCCCAAGTGGTTTGAACTAAGCATTAAATCATAACTGAAATAGCAGTTATTATGAATACTCAGTATGGATATATTATTGTTGATTTATGCTGTCTAGGCTTTATGTTCTTTTTGGAAACTTACAACAGTAGCTATATTTGACAGGGAAATAACAGGATAGCCTTGAGTGCCTGGTGATGTAAGAAGTATGTGGTCAAGTTACAGCCACATTTATTTTATTCCAGATTACTGTCTCATTAAAATACCAACCCACCCCCACTGCTTAAAATCAAATTCAGTGTAGGCATTTGGATCATGGATGGGTGCACACTAACTGAGACTTTTCCAATCCTCCTAGCCAGGCTTTCTTGCTCACTAGTGACTGGCAAACAACATCAGTGACAAACAACTTGTTGCTTTCTTTGTGTTTTAAAAGAAGACTTCTTGATTAGTGCTTTTAGGATGGCTTAGGAGTTGCTTGCTTGTAACTCCAGCCAGTTGTAGAACTGGCAATTTTCTTTTTTTGGGATGGAGGGACAGCAAAAGGTGTTGATGGTTGAGGATGTGTCACATTTGGTTTGTTCCTGACATTTTTCTATGATGTGTTTCAGGTGATTTGAAGAGAAATAATTTCTTCAGCCTAAGTCTGACTCCATAAATCCTTTATCTTAGCTAATGATACTGTATTTGGTTGAATGGGGTACTAGACAAAGTATGTACAAACCTTCCTGGTATGCTCAATAGATGTGTGTGTAGTATGCATTATTGCCTATTTGGAACATGCAGAAAAGTTTAAAGTAGATATAATCCTATTGACAGAAATAGTTGGTAAGGATTTGTTTGTTCATGTATTTTTGTATGTTTGTTTTAGGTTTTTATTTTGTTTGGGGATTTTATGTTTTTTTTCTTGGATTTGTTTGTTTTTTATTGTAACTGTTGTTCAGGAACAATTATTAAAACTATATTCAAAATTAGTGCTTGTGTTTGGAAACTTTTCCTTTCTGAAGTGCAGGGCTAGTGGCCTTCTGGCAGATCCACCATTGCATGGTTGTGTGATGCCTCATTAATTTTAGAGGATGCATCAGAGGACAAATATAAATGACCACTTTGTATAAAAACATGTGACCTACTTCAAACTGCATTTGTCTTCTGAAAGGCTACACCCTAGGAATAATTTATGTAGCAATGCTAAAATAATCTTTAAATTAGTTTTTTTTTTTTCCTGATTGTCTTTTGTATTGGGTATATTCCTTGTTAGAAAGCAGGTATGAATTGTTAAAAACTGGCATTTGAGCTGTTTCTAGTGCTGACCAACATAAAAACCTTGAAGTGTAATAGAGGTTCCAGTTTCTTGACTTTTTTATTTGTGAAATGAAGAAATTTACCTGCATAGTTGTGGAGCTTACTGGTAGAGGGCCATCTGAATGTGCCCTCAAAACTGAAAACCACTTGCTGCTAGTTGTGGGAAAAAGGAAATTTGGAGAAGCTGGTGAATGTTGGAAGGCAGGAAAGAAGAGAGAACAGAGACCTAATTTTAAACTGACTCCAAAAGTAGTAAACACAAGCCATTAATAATTTGCAAGTGTCTTAACTTGGAGCACTAGGTACTACAGTTTGAAAAATAAACCACAAAATAGTTAAAAATAAAAGAGATGTTATTTTTTTATTCAGATATTCTGTAATGCATAGGAGAGTTCATTTTTATAAATCGGCTGTTACATGGGCATTTAGATAGTGCTACAGTATTTGATATCTATGCCAACACTAAAACTGGAACAGTCTTGTTTATACATTGTATTGAAAGTGCTGTATTCTTTTTTAAATGTTTGAGCCTCTCATCTTGGGTAAAAAGCTTCTTTTCCCACAGAAATACCTGATTAACCAAAGCTTTTACTCTCAGTTGGGAACAGATGTCAAATTTCATTTTGGGGCAGACAGTAGTGCTTTTGTGAACTTCAGCCTTTGGACTAGACAAAATTAAACTCGTTCAGGCAAACAGCTCAGAACCAGTGTAAAGGGGAAGCTTTGGCAACACTGTGCTTTTAAAATGGAAGGAAATAGTCAAAACAACTACTTGAGGATATTTCTAGCTTTGGTAAAATGTTTTTTTCCTCTGAAAGTGGTTAATACTTCCCATTACCTCCAGTATAAACTTTTAATATTAAGTACTCTTTTTGGCAAAGCTAATTTGCATTTTAAAATGCTAGTTCATTTTAAAGATGATGAAACAAACCAAACTGTCAACCTTTTAATAATGAGGGAAATTTGAATTTATAATTATAGTTCAAGGTAACCTTTTTTCCTCTCTTCAAGAGTGCAGGTGAAAACGATTTGATAATTATCTTGGATGTAGTTTTCATTTTGGTCAGCAATCACAGCAGAATATTATGAGAAAAGAAGGGAAAACAGTTACCTTGAATTCTTAGAACACTCAGAAGCAGAAATGAAATTCCTAGAATAACCCTCCAAATGTCAGCAATCCTGTTTCGATTAGCCACTTAGGTGTTTTTAATACAAATTTGAAAGCAAGTGTGTCCCCGTGTCAGGCTGTTAACAAGACCTCATTGCCATGCTCTGAAAGCTTTTTCCTCTTGGTACACAGATATAACAAACTAATGCACAAAATCTATTCAGAGAACACTTTGTCAGTCTCTCACTTCTGTTTAGGAGTGTAAGTTAAAGTCACCGTACCCTGAGGTTTGTATTTCTGGAAAATTTTCCTGTGAGAGCTTGCCAATTGCTGGAGGATTTTTCATTACCTGAAGGAACTAAATTGAAAAATACTGACCTTTAAAACATGATGTTACTCTCCAGTTTTCATTTCTGTTTATGCTTTTTTTTTCTTCCACAGGAGTTGTGGAAGTGTCAGTCCGAAGTCCATTGGCCTGTTGGTTTAGTGCAATGCTTTATTGCTTTGGGGGTTCAGTTTTGTCTTCGTTGATGCTTGGTGAGCCTCCAGTAGCATTTCTGGCAAAGACCATAAATATTCTCCTGGCATCGTCAGTCTGGTAAGCAGCCAGAGTTGGGTAAGACGAGGTGGCTCTAAGGAAGCTGTGTGCTGTGAACTGATACTATACCATCAAGGTTCCATGTAAATCAGAATTTTTACTTAAAAGTGTTGTGGATTTGGATGCTGTCTTTTCATCTGTAGCATCACAGCAGCTATGATCCTGTTCTTTGGGAATGGAGAGCAACTCTTACAGCCTGTTGTGTAACAAAATGTTCTGTTGCTAGATTAGACTTATCTTAGGTTTGTTAGCATTCCTGGTCAAACAGCTGCAAACATTACTTTTTAATAAAATTATTCAGTTGCTGATTTACTGAACATAGGTATGTCATAAATGCAGTCAAATTTTTAAAAATTAGTTCTTGAAGACCAGAACCTGGCTGATGTAAAAATTTTGGATATTCCTGTAACTGAGTTTCCAAGACACATCTTTCCTTCAGTTCCTACTACCAGACACATTTTTTTCCTGTATTTCATTCCTTCTCAAATGAGTGGGTGTTGTGGTGGAAGACAGTAGCTAGCTGAATTGTAGGCAATTTGGCCTGCTTTGGAGTTAAAAAAAAAAAAAAAAATCTGGTGTTATTTTCATATAAATGTGGCCTTCCAGTGGAGTTTGTTTGTTCCAGAAAGTGATCATTGAAGAAAACTTCAAACTTAACAAAAATTATGAGCAACAGTGGGGTTTTCAATTTAGAAATATCAATCACTATATTTAGATATTCTGGCCTGCTTAAAATCCTTTAGTTCCACTTGCTCCATAAGTTTTACAATTGAAAATTCATTAAAATGAAAGCAAGTGTTTCTATCTGTCTGGGTCTATGTACTAGTTTTATGGTCTTTGTGTTGCAATAGAAGATGACATATTTAATTTGGTGAAATTAATAATATGTATTATTAGTGAATTATTAACAGATCTTACAGAACCTTCCGGTGGTTGTGTTAGTCTGATGTGGTCAGACTGATTGCTTGTTTCATTAAGTGACATGAGCTAGAAGTACACTTGAAGAGAACAAGATTTCTGTTTCACTCACTGTGATCAAATGTGATTTGCTATGCACAAATTAAATGAGGTTTTAGTGAGAAGCTGTGAATGTTACAAAATATTTTAAGCTTCCAGCTTTACAAAGTTTCCTCTTCCTGAGTGTAATGACCTTAATTCCTGGTCCCAGATCATGCAAAAATAAATTCCCCAAGCCACACTTGGAGCTGTAAAGGGAGTGGAGTCATGCTGGGCTTGAGGAATGCTCCTAAATAGTCTGTAGGACAGCGGCATCTACTGTCAGCAGAGACTGCAGGCAGAGTGGGCCTTCAGTGCCAGCCTCAGTCCTGTCACCAGTGCCTCAGGGTCCTAAACCCGCATTCTGCAGATCTCAATTAATTCTGGTGTGAGTTGTCTTCTAAGTGGCTTAAATGGCTGTTTGCAGTAGCCTGTAAAATACGTCCTCTCTCTATGTGTTTGGCTTCATATCAGCTGAAGCTAGGTTGCATGCAGAAGCATCTGACTTTACAATAAGAGATAAAGGGAAGGGCCTCAAAAATTCTTGGTAGGCAGGACTGAGGTGAAAAACCTTGAAGCAAGGGACAGTGTCTTTTTTTTTTTTAAGAAAACAAAATGGATCCTTCTTTTTAAACACTTTATCTGCTCTTATGCAATAACTACTCTTACTCCTATGCTGAAATAATCTACTTAAGATAACTTAATCAAGATACTTAATCTTGATTAGGTTTTTGTGAATGTCTCAGAACTGAATTCTATTTATTATTGAAGACATAAAATAAACCACTATGTAATCTAATATTTTAAAATGTACTTTCACTTAGGATTTAACTGTTAGCCATCTTTATTTGGTTTTAAAAGCAAGATGATCAAAAATATTTTGTGTAGTGTTCTTTCAATGCTTTGTATAAAGAAATGTGCTTGTAATGGGCAAGCTGGAAAAGCTAGAATTGGTGAGTACCAAGATGTTAAATCTGCTTAAAAATAGCCATGCATTTCAGCTAGTATGACATTAACTAGTGAAGGCATTCTTGCTGAAGTTATATAATTCCAGGTACCTACAGTCTGGAAGCACAGAGTCAACATTTCATTTACCACCCTCTTGTAATCCTATTTAAAAACAATCCCAAACAAAGAAACTAAACACAACAATCCCCTTACACCGAACCAAACAAAAAAATAACTCACAAGATAAACTCAAACCACACAAAGTCAATCAGATACCCCTTTAATGACTTGAATTATAAAAATGTGATATATAAGGTGTAGAAGAATGGGAAAAATGTAAAGTTGTTTCACATGGACTTCAATTGATTAATCTCTGGTACAATGAGGCAGTAGTGTTTAGTTTTGGTGCAAAAGCTCAGGTGTGCTCAGAAGCTTTTCAAATTTGTTCCGAGATGTGTACCATGAGGCTTTGAGTTGTCAGTAGTATATCAGGCATTGCTAGTCATATTCCAAAAATATATTTAAAGATTATGAAAAGATAATTCCTTAGCAAATTGTGGCTGATGTTTTTTTTCTGATGATTTTCAGGTATCTAGTGTTTTACTGCCCAGAAGACATATTCTGCCGCTGCTTTTCCTTTCTGCCTCTTCGTCTTCTGGTGGCAGGAATGAAAGAAGTGACAAGGACTTGGAAGATCACAGATGGCATTACACATGCAGACACTGTCTACAAAGATGCCTGTCTTATCATGGTGGCTGTTGGCTGGGCCAGAGGTAACATGCACAGCATCTTGTTCTGAGGGTTTGGGGTTTTTTGGGGTGGTGTTTGAATGTCCAGCCCCTCAGCAGAACTGTAGCACCATCCTTGCTGTGCTGGGCACGGTAGTCCTGATGCAGTCTGATGTCCCCTGAAGGAAAAAGCCTGTGCTGCAGATTTTCTGCCTGAATTAAGGGTGACATTGAAGGACTTTGAGAGGAGTTCCCTTCAGAAGATCTTACGAGAGCCTGCAGGAGGGACAGTCGATGACAATAAAGAAGTAAATCTTCTGTGTAGCAGTTGCTGAACTTTCCAACAGTATTATTGCCTCAGAGCTGTGTCATTGCATGAGGCTGAAGAAGAGAACTGGGTAGCTGAGGTTTTTGAGTTGTAACCATTACTTGGTTTTAAACATGGGGATGACCCCTGTTGCCTGCCTGCCATTTGGAATTCTGGAAGTCACCTTCCTGACAGCTGAATTTGCACCCACACCATCGGGGTCACTTCAGAAAGTAGTTGTGCAGATCTTGTTTCTGCTGGATTCTGTGCTGCTGTGGAAAGCAACACGTGTGAATGTGATGATTGCATCAGTTCAGATGCTGTCACTTACAGGCAGACCTGACCTGCTTGCTGAGTGTCTCAACCTCTGAGGTTTCACGGCCGTTGTTTGAGTCTTGTTTGCACAAAAGGTTGGATTAAGTCTTTCTAAGTCTGGGCTTTGGCGCCACATTTAGCACCCGGTGTCATGAGTTTTTCTGGGAGCAGTGGCATAGTAGTGGTAGCAGTCAGTGGAAACTTGCCATAAATCTCTTCAATTTCAGGTGCTGGTGGTGGCTTAATTTCTAACTTTGAGCAGCTGGTGAGAGGAGTGTGGAAACCTGAAACCAATGAGCTCCTGCAGATGTCTTAGTAAGTTTTTTTAAAAACTGCAATAAGTTAGCTGTTGTTTTGCTGGCTCCTTGTGTGGATGCTTACTTTCAGTGGTTGAAGCAAAAAAAAAAAATTAGGACATACTTGTACTCTGTTTTAGTCTATATCCTTTGAGAGATGGGACAATGAGTTTTGAGACTTCTGGAAAATGTTTTAATAATTTAATGTTCACAGCCTAAGAGCTGCAAATGGGAAATCAACAAGGCTTGTCAGAAAGTAGTAAAGACCTAGAAGACAGTTGCTGGAAAGCTGTTTTGGCTCAGTTTTTCATACAGAGACATGGTCTTCTATCCAAAATGAAAGTACAGTGGTACTAGAAATACACAAGTGAATTTTGGTGTATGTTCTGAGCATCACTAAGATGGCTTCCTTTGAACATTGTCACTCTTACTTTTGCTGCCAGTGCTATTTTCCTCCAAAGACATCAATTATTTGAGAAGGTACAAATTGGTTATTCAGTATGGCAGAAATGACCTGCAAGATGGGAAAAGTTACTTCTCTTGCAGAAGCAAAGAATGAGGAATATTACATGCCTCCTGGTTTTCTCTGTAAAATGAGAATTGAAGCAGGCTGGAAAGCCACAAGCTATTATTGTAAGTCAAGATAAGGTCACTGTGATAATTTCCTAAAATTCTTTTGATCTTTCCCAGGTTACAGTCAGGTCTTTAAAAATAATAATTTTATTTTTTTAAAAAGCTATCTTGCTTTTCAGCAGCCACTCCTAGACACAGAATAACAGGAGAGACATTTGTGGCCTTCTCTTTGACAATATTTCAACTTTTTGTGGATTGTGTTAGTTGTTGGCTTTTTCTGAAATTCTAAGTATTTAGAATTTCTCTTGTCAGTGCCTGAATGACAGTCTTGAAAGTAAACTTCCAGAAAAAAGGTGACTGTCAAAAATAGCACTGTAGACACATATAAAACTGTCTTTACAGGTGCAACACCAGAACAATGCTTACTGATTGGCATCACTTGCATATATTCTCCTTCTCCACTGTGGGTATGGCTCAAAGTAACTCAAAAAAGATTTTAAAAGTTTTATTTATGTCTAAGTCTTAAGAACATTAAAGTGAACTAAGTGACAGAGTTAAAAACATCAAACATCTTGCAAATGGATGAGATGCCTGTGTACACAGGGCTGTTTTATTGGCTTCTTGAGCAGAAATTTCATATAGTTTTTTGGCTACTGAAAAGACAGTAAAGAGTAGATCCACCATAGATGCTCTGTGATAACAGGAATGTCACCTGTAAAAGTCACATGCAGATTAAGAAATGCACAGAATTCTGGATAACTGACCAAAGATCTCTTCTGGCTGCATACCTAGGAAGCGATTTTGTACCACAACAAAGTTTGCTGTAAACTGGAAATAGGTTGGAAATCTTTGCATGTCTCAGGTCAGCACAGTTGTTTTGGCAAGACCTGGTAATACAGGCCTGGCTCCAGTCAGGTCTTAAGCTGATACAGCCCCAGAACTGCTGGAGTGTTACAGTGGGCTGTGTTACTCTTCAACATCTTAAGCAACTCCTTGGAGTAACTAACTCCTGGAGTATAGTATAGGAACCTGTTTTTATGTTTAGTCCGAGTAGTGTGAGCCCTGTAATTTAACTCTTCAATAAGATGTATTGGGAGAGGAAGAAGAGAATCAAGCTGACATATAAAGTCTGAATAGAAGCATTGGTTTGAGGAGTATTTCTCAAATAGGAGTTAGCTGGGTGTGTGAAGTAGTGCTGGATTTGAAGATTTATGGACAGAAAGTATATTAATAGTGTATAAAGTGAAAATCTTAATGTAGTTATAGCTGGATTTTGGATCTTACCACTGTTACCACATGTTTTCAATAGTTCTGTTCAGAAATAATTATTTTGCACACTAAGAACGTGTATTGCTTTCCAGGCAGCTTTCACTGTAGAGCAGAGAAGAGAAATTAACATTCTTTGTTTGATTTCTAGCCCTGTGAAGGTAACTTTAATAGGAGCAGTTCTTTTCACCCTGCAACGCAGACAGTATTTGCCAATAGCAAAACACAACCTTGTGTTTTTATACACCATCTTTCTTGTTGTCTTCAAGGTAAGAATTTGAAAGTTGCTAGTGACCAAATAACATAAAATATTTTATTTCGTTGTTAAAATGCATGCTGCTTGATGGGAAGGCCAGCTTCTGCTGAAGTCGTGTTTAGAGTTCTATAAAAGAGCAGAATGGAAGACCTGTTGTGTTACTGATTCTGTTCAATGTATGCAGGAGACAGAGAGGAAAAGAAAAATAAAATTAGTAATTTTGGCACTCAGTATTTGATATTCCAGGCTTGTATGTCTGTAATCTCAAAAACTAATTCTTGTTGAAAGAAACTCTCCTATTCTCTGTCTTTTGTGTGTACCTATGCAGTCACCAGTGGGTCTGCAAAACAAACCAGCTGGATTCTCATTTGATTTAAAACGTTCACAAAATTAGTGTTTGGATGGGAAGGGAAGGTATACCAAAACTACCTTGAAAAGCAGTAACTATTTTGTAATAAAATAGACACTACTTCTCTATTGAAGTCTTCAGTTCCTCTATTCTTGGTTCATTTCCAGGATGATGCCTTTCTTCTGGATTACTAGTTTATAAGAAAACTCTTATATAGTCTATATAAACTCTGAAATCTCTGTTAGCAGATATCAGGCAATTTTAAGAGCTTCAGAACTGGTGTTGAACAGACCAGAGAATGTGTGGAAGTGTGGTTGCCAATCTCCTTTCTGTGAAGGAGCTGACAAGTTTAATTCTGCAGAAGTTACTTTAGGGAGCCAAAGCTTGAAGCTTATGTCCTTGATTTTCCATCTGAAATGATAAAGGCATTGTTGAACTGTGGATGCTGGGATGATGAAGGAAAGGAATGCTGTTCTGGAAGTGAGAAATTGCAGTGTCCACAGAAGTTGGCTGTGCAGCTGTGCTGTAGTAACTAAATCCTTACTCTGATGTTTGCACTGACAGTCAGGAACTCAACCACCCACCTAACTAACAGACTAATAAAGCAACAGTGTATCTGGTGTAGTTATTTAATAACCTCTCCTAGAAAATTGTCGTGTCTCTGAAAGCTTTAGAAACTGTTGCAACATCTCTGGTACCCAAAGCTGGGTTTTTCAATCCTGATCCAAAGTTACATGTCCTAAGTGTTGCCCACCTAAATCTCTGAACTTTATGGAATGAATATGGCTATCTGGACTTCTAATTAAAGTCTGGTTATGGACATATACATTCAAAATGGAATTACACGTTCAATTTTTCCAATTTAAGTGGAAGGAAGCCACTCTGTTTAGTTTTTCAGTTTGAACAAGGCACAAAACTTACACATAAAAGTTGGTCTTCACCTTAAATGTATGGCATTAAATGTGATTAACTCTCAGGATGATTAATCTTACAGAGAGTTTTTTATGCACATTGTGTATAGCTCATTGAAACATAGAGTCATACAATGTTAAGGGCTGGAAGAGGCCTCAAAGATCATCCAGTTCCACTCCCCTACCATAGGCAGAAACATTTTCTACTAGGCCAGGCTTTTTAAGGCTTTATCCAACCTGGTCTTGAACATTACCATGGTTGGGGTATCAGCAACATCGCAGGACAACCTGTATCTCACCACCCTCACAGTAAAGAATTTCTTCCTAGAATCCAGCTTAAATTTCTCCTCTTTCAATCTGTACCCATTCCCCTTTTTCCTATTGCTACAGTTCCTGAGGAAGAATCCCTCTCAGGCCTCCCTGTAGCTGTGTGAAGAGTGTTGGTCATAAAGAAAAGCATTCTTTGACCAATTTCAGCTAAAATGAGCAGACTTGTGTTAGTGATGGCACAGCCTCACCTTGTGTACAAAGTTAAAAATGCCATACACCCCTTCAACTTTGAGCTTGATTACCTGTGGAGCCATCACAACTTTTATTGTAACTTGATCATTGTTCTTTGTAGGTCAAAATGATATTGACAAGATGTTCAACTTCTCCACTTGCTCCCTTCGAGGCTGCAGTGGGCCAAATGTTTTTTGGCTCACAAAAGGCACCTTCCAAAGTGAAGGGTGAAAGTGCCACATCTTCCAACGGCTCTTCAGTCTGTGACCAGTCTTCTGAGCAGCACCATGAGGGTGCTAAGAAAAAACAAGCAAAGAAAACAGAATAAGTGACTTGAAATCCTTGTGGTGGTCATGAAGATGTGTGTCTTCCAGATTAGGCTGGCTGAGAGGTTTCTCTAACGAAAATGAGAACAGGGCTGTTCTAATTTTTGGAGTGTGTTATGTGAGCTATGTGTAAATGCACGCGTTGGATTTGTGAGTTAAAACTATGAACTTCTATAGTGCTTAAAAGTTTACTAATTTTTGTACTTACGATAACTTCAATTGCTTATATGATAAAAAGATAGTTTCAAAAACGTGACAATCATGTTTTTTTCCTACTGTATCACTTGTTTCACATCTTCCTATCCCCCAGTTCTTATGTGTCATTTTGATAACCCTGATTTGTACTGTCAGGTGTTCACTGTAGCACATCCCAAATAAGAAAGTCATTAAGTAAGGCTTAATCACATTGCACTGTATAAAATCATAAAAATGTACCAATTTAATGCCTTTAACTAGAAAAGTAACTGAATTATTGCTGTAATTCACATTGCATTGGTCTAGATTTTCTTAATTTCTTAGAGTAAATATTTTAAAATATTTTTAATGTTTTAAAATGAGAGTAGATTATCTAGCACTTAAAAAAAATCTTTACAGTTAGTAAGCAGAAGCACATCAATATTTTTGTTGTTGACTTCCTTGGACTCTTATTTGCAAGCATTTGAGATGTAGGTGTTTTTTGCCACATTAGTGTTTTGCAAGTGGTTTGTAGTTATCTTCTGGTTCACTTGGGTCTAGACATTCTTTGCCTGCATTTTTTTTCCAAGCATATTCTTTTCAAAGACAAACTTGTTTAGTCAGCACCCTGAGCTGCAAGTCAGGGATGGGGCAGAATGTTGCCCTCATAATCCATGAGGGAATGGTTAGTGAGCTGCTAGAAAACCTGGACACTCCCAAGTGGTGGGATGGGATCCACCCAGGGGGCTGAGGGAGCTGGCAGAGAGCTCGCTGAGCCACTTCCAATCATTTACCAGCAGTCCAGGCAAGCTGGGGAGGTCACAGCTAACTGGAGGTTGCCAAATGTGACAAGCATCTACAGGAATGGTCAGAAGGATCCAGGGAACTACAGGCCTGTCCCCTGTCCCCAGTGCCAGGAGACCATGGAGCACAGGTCACCTGGAGTGCCATCAGGACAGGAAGAGGACAGCCAGGGCATCAGGCCCAGCCAGCCTGGCTTTAGGAGAGGCAGGTCCTGTCTGCCCAGCCTGTGCCAAGGTGACCTGCTCAGGGCCGAGGGAAAGGCTGTGGACGTGTCTGCCCGCACTGCACAGAGCCTTTGGCTCCTTGTGCCACGGCATCTCCTGGAGAAAGCGGCTGCTCACGGCAGGGCCCCGAGCCTGGGGCAGGACTGGCCGAGGGCAGGGCCGGGAGCGGCGGCAGCGCAGGGACACCCAGCGGGGCTGGCACCAGCGGGGCTCCCATGGGATCGGGGCTGGGGCCGGGCCTGTCCAGCACCCCCAGCACGGGTGTGCATGGGGCCATCGAGGGCCCTGGGGCAGTCCCGGGCAGCACCGGGCTGGGATGTGGATCTGCTGGAGGGCAGGAGGGCTCTGCAGAGGGTCTGGACAGGCTGGATCCATGGGATGAGGGACACCCAGGGGCAGTGCTGGCTCCTGCCCTCGGGTCACAACAACCCCCCAGCTCCAGAATGGGGGAAAAGGGGCTGGAAAAGGGCCCGGGGGTGCTGTGACAGCAGCTGGACACGAGCCCAGGGTGTCCCGGCCCTGGGGTGGCAGCAGGAGCAGGGCAGGACTGTCCCTGTGCTGGCCCTGCTGAGGCCACACCTCAGATCCTGGGGGCAGCTCTGGGCCCCTCACAGCTTGAAAGACCAACAAGTCCAGAGGAGGGAACGGAGCTGGGAAAGGGAATGGAGCCCCAGGAGAGGCTGAGGGAGCTGGGAAGGGGCTCAGCCTGGAGGAAAGGAGGCTCAGGGGGAACCTTGAGCTCTGCACAGCTCCTGACAGGAGGGGACAGCCAGAGGGGTCAGGCTCTGCTCCAGGAACAGGGACAGGAGGGGAGGGAACGGCCTCAAGCTGTAGCAGAGGAGGGTTAATTTGGATATCAGTAAGTTTTTGTTCACGGAAATGGCAAAAAGCTTTGGAACAAGCTGTCCAGGAAGGTGATGGAGTAAACATCTGTGGAGGGATTTAAAAGGGTGTATATATATTGCACATGGGGATATGGTTTAGTGTTGGCCTTAGTCATGCTGGGTTAAAGCTTGACTTGATCTTAAAGGTCTCTTCCAACCTAAACCACTCTTTAATGTCAGAAGCACTGAAAGTTTTTATTAGCATTTGCTGAAATCTTGCTGCTTTCTGCTTGTTGCATCTTTTTTTACTCAAGATATGAAGCCGTCTAAGTAGCATACACTTCATAACTAAGAACTTTGGCATTTTAGAGATGTTACAATACATAAGAGTAGAATCTTTTCAGGGGAATCTTTTCATTGATGTGCCAATTTTTAGAATAAACTATTTTTACAAAATTTGACTATTTTCTTCAGAGAGCACTGCTTTGAAGAGCATTGTTCAGCAAAGAGGGGTTAGGTTAATCTTTGTGCAGGATGCCAAAAAGAATGTGGAGGGAGATCTGATTTGAAAAGACAAAGTTCTAGTTGCAGGTACATCTCTAAATTTAGAAAAGCTGTCACCAATGCTGTGCTTAGAGAAAAAAAAAATAAAAGTACCAAAGAAATTTCTTGTGCCTGAGTAGTCACATTTCCATGGTGATGACCAAAAAAACCATTGAACTCACTTTGAAATCCAACTTCATTCCAAATGTGCTGTACCTTGAAAGCTCAAATTACTATTTAACACCTAAGAATAAAAACAAAGTACCCCAAACTTTTTGGACAAACTAGCAGTCATATTCCTTACATATTACACTGAAACTTAGTTTTCAGTTACAAATGCTTGGAGTATTCACTTGCTGTCTCATTTTTTTGTAGCTTGATGTCATGGATTAACTTGAAGCTGCCAATTGACTAGTTAACAATCAGCTAATTATCAAGCAACACCAGCACATGCTGCCTGTCCATGTTTTTTTAAAGTTTTGACGTTTTTCTGAATAGGTGTATTTGTGTATTCTAGGTCACGTGAACCATACATAATGGGATTGTGGCATGGAACCGTGTTACACGTGTATGAAATTCTGCCTGAAAACTGGCTATTCCTAGCCCAAGTCAATGTGCAAATATGCTTAGACTAAGTCTTTAACAAGTTTACAATTAGAGGGGAAAATGTATTGTTTTGTATTTGTTTTCAGAGTTAAAGACAGCAATATTAAATTTTTTTAATATTTAATAATTTAAAAAGTATTTTCTTGTCTGAAGACCTTAGAAATAAAATCGTTGTGAGGTAAAATAGAAGTTATGCTGACAGAAATTCTGTTTTAAGCACTATGAAAACAATACTTTGTGTTTAAAGGTATCACACGTTGCTGAAGGATGGGTGCTCAAAAAAGCTACATGCAAATGTTTTGAGAGCTACATTTTATGATAGAAAAAGATAACCAGTTGCTCAGGGTTTAATCTGAATTCTGTAGGTGACATTAATACAGTGTGTCCAGGATGCCTCAAATAAACAATTCCCAGCTTTCATGCTGTTAGTTTTCTATGTCTGGTAAACTCCTCTGTGTGAGAATTTTGTTAACTTCTTATAACTGTTCTGGCAAGGCTTGTCAGATTCAGCACAGCTGCACACATGAGCTACTTGACTGAATCTAATTTTGTCATTAACCTGGTAAAATTAGAAGCTGCTGCCTTGTGCCAATATAAATGAAGTAGTTCAGAAATTGCTTTATCAGCTCAAGTCTTGGGCTAGAAGGGCATATTCCTGGTTAAACCAATTGCTGTTCTGAGTAATTTCTACTAATACATCCAGCTTCTGTAGGAAGGAATATCTTAAAATTTGCTTCAGGAACAGAACTGATGTTTCTTTAGACAATAAATGCTATTTGCTTTCCTCTTCTGTTTTTTCTCCATTTCATTTTATTGGAAAAAAGTGGAGATGGGAAGCAGTACCTCATCTAAACTGCAATTCTTCAGTGTATTGTTAGGCAAGACACAGTTGTTCAAGAATTCCAAACATCCGTCTTCTGTAGAATCTGAATCTGCTCAGCATAAGGGGATTGCTGAAATCTAACATCATCCAACAGTCTAGACAGTGAATGCAAGATTTACTCGGAGTGAATACTCTTAATTTATAAGGTGAATCCTCATTTCTAAGTCTTAAATGAGTAGCAACAGAGAAACACCATTTGATGCCAAGATGAGAGTCAAAAATGTGTTGTAAATAGTAATTTGCATTTGTTCTGATAAAACTGCTCTGTTAAGCAATCAAAAGCCTTTTGTGAAATGTGTGGAATTGTTCAGCAAGGAATAGATAGCAATACGAAGGCTGACAGAGAAATACATTAATATTCTCAGGCAAGATCACTGATCTGCCAGAGGGCTTTATCTACAGTCAGGAAGTAGAATGTGGTGATCAAAATGGCATCCCAAATAAAAACTACTGTGATGTAGTGTGATAAGTAGTTTATGCACAGCAACCTGCAGCCTGCAGCTGGGTTGCTCAACCCCTGGTGTTGATATTTGCTGGTGGGTGAGAAGCTAGACATGACCCAGCCGTGTTCTCTGGCAGCCCAGAAAGCCAAACCTGTCCTGAGCTCATCCCACAATGTGGACAGCAAGGGAGGAGGAATTCTGCCCCTCTGCCCTGCTCAGGTGAGACCCCACCTGTACCTGTGGGGTCCCCAGTGCAGGAAAGACATGGACCTGCTGGAATGAGCCACAGAAATTATTAAAGGACTGGAACACCTCTACTGTGGAGACAGGCTGAGAGAATTGAGGCCAAAGGCTCCTGGGAGACCTCATAGCAGCCTTCCAGTACCTAAAGGGGGTTTACAAGAAAGGTGGGAACAGGCATTTTAGGAGGGCTGTAATGACAGGACAAGGGGTAATGGTTTTAAGCTGAAGAAGGGTCATGTCCCAGATTGCAAGGCAAGATGTATTCCATTTGCCATCTCTATGGCAGTTGTCTTCTGTAAAGTGAGCAGTTTTCCTTATCTCTTCCACAACCAATCCTCTCTCAGGGAAGACATCTGCTGATAATGATAATGATGGGCTATTGAATATCACTGCATGACCAATAAGAACTAGAACATCCCATTGTGAGATGCTCTGCCCAGAGAGAGGAGTCAAGCATTCCTAACTGGATATAACCTGGAGTTACTGGAACACCAGCATGGGTTTTCCTACACTGGATTTCCCAGAGGAACAGCTGCCTCTTCCACTGCAGGAAGACTACAGCTTTTTCTACAGGATCACTGCTCCCACAGAACCACACCTGACATTCCAGGAGGATTTCAGCCATAATTCCCAATTAAACTGCTGCCAACCCCCTGTCCGACAGGGTGTCAGGTTGTATTCTGGTTCTGTCAGTGTTGTTTTGGTTCACTGAATTGTTTATTTTCTCTTTTGATTTTCTTCTCTAATAAAAAACTGTTATTCTTCCTCCCATATTTTTGCCTGAGAGCCCCTATTAATTTCAAATTTACAACAATTTGGAGGGAGGAGGTCTACATTTTTTTTTTCCCATTTCAGGGGTGGTTCCTGCCTTCCTTAGCAGACACACTTGGTCCTTCCAAACCAAGACAGGTGAAATCAGATAATATTAGTGAAAAAATTATGGTGAGGGTGGTGAAACACTGAATTGTAAGTAGCACTGTATTGTAAGTAGCAAGATTGGAAAATTGGAAGTGGGTTGCCCAGAGAGGTGCCCCATCCCTGGAATCCTCAAGGTCAGGTTGGATGAGGTGCTGATCTAGTCAAAAATGTCCCTGCATATTGCATGGGAGTTGGACTAGATGGCCTTTAAAAGTCCCTTCAAACCCAAACTGTTCTGTGATTCTTTGATTCTAAGAAAAAAAGATTTCTTCAATGTTGAAGCATGTTGTCAGAAGGGTTGAGGCAGTCCTTACTGACCTTGGAAGCTGATACTATCAGTGTCACATAGTTCTTATGAAAGGGCAAAAAAGGAAGAAACACGTGTCTAAAAGAAAGAAACGTGTGTCTACTTTGTTGTCTTTTGCTGAAATTTTATCAAGCTCCCTGGCACATTTTTCCAAAATAGATTAAAAAATTTTTTAGTGGTAGTCATTTCAATCAGTCACCTTTAGTTTGGTGAAATTTTCTCCTCCCCCTTAAAAGAAGACTTAACAGACATTTGAATGTCAAGGCTAGATTAGATGGTTTTGGTTTTTAAGTTGGACTTTTTCATGGCCAAATTTGGAATGAAACTACTGGAAGATACTTTGATCTAAAGCTTTTTGGCACACATTCTGTTTTCTGAAAATAATACCCATTTATGGTCCTGGAGTGTTTAGGAATTATATGGAAGTATTTTTGAGTGTCTTTCAGTGGAATTTCAGAATGCCTTTAATGCACTTAACAAGCAGATTACATCAAGGAAAATGAAAATACAAACTTACGAGGTTCTATTGTCATAGCAGAATGTCAGAAAGATCCAAGGTGAAGAAATCAGTTTTATATTGAAGAGGGTGCAATTTCATGGCAACTACTTCATCACGAGTGACTTCTGCGGTTCAAATGTTCTTTGTGTGAAAACTTTTCTCTTCTTACTTACCTGCCACCCATCATGCAGCAAAGTCTGGTTCTGACTCTCCCAAAGTGAGCTGTTTTCCTGCAAAGGAGGCAGTTGTTCTCTGGTGTTTGCTTTCTAGCTCCTGGAGGCTTGAAAGCAGCAGGAAAGAGAGGCTGAGTGCTGCACTTGAAATTCTCAAGCGGGGAGCGAGGCCCATCTCTCTGGGCAGCTGGGGCTTGTTCTTTGGCTGCAGTCCAATTACTCAAAGTATTTTTAATCCATTTGGTTCAGTATAGCAGGTGAATGTTAAGTAAAACTATCCTGTATGATCATTCAGATGCTTCTCTGGGAGTCACCCTCATTCTGCTTGAGATTTTTAACTGCTGGGACTGAAGCCATTTTGGAATCTGGAATTAAATAACTAATGTTTGGGAATCTTCTTCTGCAAGAAGTACACATGTGCTTTTTATGTATTCTGCACATCACGGATTAAAAAGTTTAGGATCAGTTTGGATTCTTCTAAATCCATCGCTCTAATCCAGGTGTCCTGTAGCTGGCTGATGCTTAGAACTGTCTTGCCAAAAGAATGGTCCCTTAGAAATCAAATGTGTTGATGATTTTTTTCCCTTCCCTCATCTTTACCTAAATCTTCTGCTTATATCAAGCTAAAGTTTTGTTCAAGTAAATTTGGTAGGAACTGGATCATAACCGAGTTTAGAAGAAGCTGGAACACAAAGGCTGTTAAAAAACAAAAATTTTGAAGCTGGTGTCTATTAGGTAAGGAGATATAGATGCCAAATGCTAAAGAGTTTACCAAAATCCCATAAAAATTAGTGCTAATACTTTGGGAAAACAGTGAATTTTCAGGAAACAAATTCAGGGCATTACTATTGAGAGTATCCACTGTGTGGATACACAGGAACGAAGTTTCCAAGTTGTGCATGACTGTGATGGTGTTTTTGTCCTCAAATGCAAATGGAATGGAGCACAAGGTTAATGAGCTTCAGACCAAGCTGAAGCAAGAACACAAGGAGTCGGGACAAAGTGAAGTAGCTCCTGGGAATGCTATGCAGCATTTTATTACATGTTATAGCAAGAGGAGGGAATCCAGACTGCTGTCAGATATTAAGTAGGAATATGGTTCTAACACTGGTACAGCCCTATTGTTGCTGACCTGAGAGGTGACATGCTGCATTCTTAGTCTGTACCTGGGCTGTATGGATGCCTAAGAATTCAGAGCATCAATGCTGCAAGGAAAAGCAATGATTAAGAAGGTCAAGCTGGGTAAGACCCCTGTGGATACATTTCCAGCAAGAACTACAAGAATGTGATCAGGCATTTCAAGTTACTAATGAGAATGTGCTTGTGATACCTTTAAACAGTGCTAATTTTGAATATTTTTTTTTTTACTGAGGGTGAAATGATGTGAAGAAGAGTGGGGTCTGAGCACTTCATTAATGCCATAAAAAAAAAAAAAATGAGGGCATTAAAAATTATATTCCTGGTAAAATGCATCCTAGCTTCTAGGCATGCAGTAAAGTAGACACGTCAGGCAACACAGAATTTAACTACCCATAGTGTGGGTTTCTTACTGTTTATCTAGGGGCATCAGACCAGTGAACCTACTAGATCTTCTTTGTCCTGAAAGGAAAGAACAAGAAAACTGATAAAAGTTATGGATTGGCTTTTGCACAGGGAGTGACTGACTCGGTAGGTTGACTGCTGGCTCATGATTAGCAGGAGAGGAGAACATGGCCCATCACAAAGTCTGTAAAATCAACTGGACCCTGATGCATGTGGAACGATTTTTACACAGTACAGCAATTTCAGCTGGAACTGGTAAGTACACAATGTCTAATTAAGCTGTGGAAGTCATTGCCTGCAGTAGAAGTGCAAGAAGTGGAAAGCAGTTAGATACCAGTTGTGACTCAGGCTGGCCTCACAGAATTTTGTCAGATGGTGGGACAGTGTTTTTAGAGAATCACAGAGTGGCTGGGGCTGGAGGGGAACTCTGTACATCACCCACTCCAACCCCCCTGCTCCAGGGTCACCTGGAGCAGGTGGAGTATCTCTAGAGAGGGAGACTCCACACCCTCCCTGGAAAACTCCCAGTCCTCTGCCACCCTCAATGGAAAGAAATTTCTCCTTGTCTTGAGTGGAAAAACTTCTCTTTTAGTTTATGGCCATATAAATGCATTGACCTGTTCTCCAATATTCTCTTGGCAGACCCTGTCCCCCTGGGAAAGGTGCTGACAGGTTTTTTGGGGGGAAATGGCAGAGATCAGCACATCTGGAGCACAAAGGATGGGCTTCACCCTAGAAAACCCACCTTCCATGACTGTAACATCTTCCCTACCAGGAAAAGAAAAAGCTCCTAGGCTGGAGAAGCCATTGGACTCATGGCTGTGTTGCAGCAGCAATGTTCATATTTGCTTCTGAAAGGTGGGCATTTGTTGTGTTATTGTGTCCTTTCTTATAAAACAGAAGTCCTTCTCTGTGCAGTTCATTATTTGTAGAATTCTTTCAGGAGCCCACATGTAATGGTATTTTAGTTGCATTAATTATTAGTTTTAAGCACAGCTGCTTTGTCTGAGGTCGTTCTTCCAGCTGAAATGGGTTTGACTGCAAGGAAACATATTTTTCCAAGAAGACTATATTGGTCTTAAGTCTGAGAAACAGAGAAAGCAAATAAAACTATTTTGTTTAAAAAGGAATTTTTTTTTCAGGGGGGAAAATTATTTCTCCCCATATTTTAATTAGAAGTATTATTGTTTATGAAAAACTGTTGTTTAATTCATAATGGGGAAATGGTCAAATATTAAAATGAATAATTCTTGGAAAAAAGTAATTTCCTCAGTTACTTTCAATCATTTGCTTAGGTATTGACAGAAATTTCCTTGGAATCTGTCATCTCACTCAGAAAGCAGACTCTGAATTTACTGAAAAGTTTCAGCAAATATCTGCTGTGTGTAAAAAGCTCCCACTTTTTTTTCCCCACAAGACAAAATTTTTCTATAAGACCCATACAGTATGGAAATTTTCTGTGATGATACAGGATTTTGAAATCTTGGATGGTGGGGCCAAATTCTTGTCTATCAGGTTGTGGTCACGTGCTAATATTACTGATGACTTGCTTGCTGTTTAGGTTGCAGATAAGAGTTTTACTTCTATACTCTGGTTATAAAAGAGGTTTTGTTATTTTCTCATGTCAGCCACATTAAAATAAACATTGTTCTCCTGTTGAAGAGCCTCAAGAACTTTTGGCCTGTAAAAAAAAAGGGGGTTAGTTTTACTTACAGCAGTCTCGTCCTTTTCCCCTTCCAATGTTAAGGTGATGCTAAAAGTACCTGTTTAAGCCTATCACATAAGTGCTAATAATAGGTATTCATTAAAAAAAAAAAAAGTTAGTGTCACACTATGACACGAAATAACTCACACATTTACACTAGATACTAAGGAGGGAAAAGAGGAAGTTTATTCCTGACCGTGCAATATATAGAATTCCAAAAGTGACAGTGGATTGGAGGATCAAATTGCTACTTCTCCAACCACACTAGTCAAACTAACAGTCTATCAATTCTCTCCTCCTCCAAAGAAGAATGCAAAACAATCATTATTTACACAAACAGTGTGAAAACTCCAGTAGAAATATGTAAACATTAGAAGGCATAGAAAACTTATAAAAGAAACTTAACATTTTCAAAAAACCAAGGTGACAAGGTAGGGACTTATGTTATTGAGCTCATAATTTTGTAAGAACAGAGCATCTCAAGCAAGTGGGGAAAGCCACTTTGTTTATCTGGCTTGTGCTTGGCGTTATGGAAAACACAAACACGCTTAAAAAAAAAGCAGTGCAGGAATTATTGAAACAGGCACAGGTGCAATGCTAAGCTTCTGTTCCAGCAACCAGGAAGAACACCAGCAGAGAAATCTTATTCTTTTTCCTTGGTGCCCCACTTGAGGGTGTTATATGATGGTTCTCAATACTGTGACTTGTGAGATAGGAAAAGCTGTACAACTTGGTAAAGGTCTGCCTTGTATTCATGGCTGGGAGCTGTGTTTAGCACTAGCTGAACACAAGGTTGGCCTGGATATGGACAGTGAAAAGCCATGGGTCACTGCACTGCTCTCTTGGATCTAATTTAGAGCACCCTACCTTTTGTTACATTTGTCTTGTAATGTTTACCATATCTCTGAAGGCTGGACTATACTACTGGACCTGATGATCTTAAAGGTCTTTTTCCAACCTAAATGATTCTGAAAGAGTGAAAACCTCTCCTTTATTTGCTTGGGGTTACTTTGCCTTGCATTATTGTGACTGACAGGTGGGTGTGTGTTTTAAAACAGCAAATAAATTCAGGACAGTTTAGCAAAATGAAGGGGGGTCAGGCACTCCAAGATCACCTGTGAAATTGTCTGAATGCTGCTGTTGTCTGGAGAGCTTGATGTGAACACTTCTGCCATCTGCCAGAACTCTTTGCCAAAATAATTACAGATCAACTGCAAGGAAGTCTGAATGACCATTACCAACCATGCTGGCATTCCCCTAGCAAAAATATTGTCTCCATGCACTCCAAAAACATTTAAGGTGTATTTTAAGTAGCAAGATTGGAAAACGCAGATCCTGTTTCCAGCTCTCTGTGTTTAGTCAGTGGCAGTGCATTGAAGGCTCTAGATCCATTTATGCTCATTTAAATCTTTGGCCTTAGCACTTAACAGAGGATGCTTGGAAAGATTCTGAACACATTTAGTGTTTCATTCCCCTTGGGTGTGTAAATTTCCAAAGCTGCTGTATAATCTTGGCCTGGAGATCCAGCACAGAGCATATTGTCTGTGGGACTGCGTGTCCTTGGCTCACCATCAGATGGGAAGAGGTGCTGGTTCTGGCTTTGCATGTGCCTCTGCTTTTAGAAACAGTTTGGGCAAGTGGAGGAACAGTTCTGCAGAGCCATTACAGTCTCTTCTGTACATGATGTTTGGGCACATTTTAAAGCCTTTATTTCCTCAGCCATGAAATCTTCTTTGAGTGGTTGCATTCTATCTTGTAAGTACTCTAGTCAGGGCTTTTCCAGCATGTGTTTACAAGCCTCTGTGGGCATGCTTGCCATGGTAATTCCTGGCTACGTTTTACTGGGAATGTCGTGATACTCATAGGGTTTGGAGGGAGAAGCAGCATTCCAAGTGGGAAATTACATCCACAATTTCCAGTGGCATGCACCAAAGCTACAGGCCTAAGACTTCTTTAGAAAGTATTCCTCTTTGTAAGGGATGTGCATTCTTTATATTTTCTCTGTTCGTAATACTTCCTTCAATATATACAAATGTTCTCATTTTACTCTTTCTCTCTGCTCACTGTCATTATCAAAAATAGTACTTAAAACCAAAAAAATAGATTAAACTAACCTCCTCTGTTTTTTTATGCGCACCTTCCTAGTTAAATGTGTCTGAGCTGATGAGCTATCACTTGTTGAGTCACGGCAAACCCTTTGTCCACATTATGACTAGTAGATATTTAATTGCCTCCTGAATTAAATTGTTATTTCCACCTTCCCATGGTTATTTTCTCTTATCTCCTTTGCCATTCACATTACAAAGTAACAATGTTGTAATTATTTTGAAAAGAATGAAATTACTTTGCCTGTGAGACACTCAATCTTGGTAGCTCTAACAATGTAGAACTGTGGGGCGGCAGGCAAGAGTGTCACCTTGCAAAATAGGAGAGAAAGGCACAAAGGGAATTACACATATTATTTAATAAGGGGGGAGTCATCTTGATGTTGACTGAGACAGATGTGAACCTGAAGATCACTGTGTAGAGTAGGAGCATATAGGTTTTGTGTGTTGTGGTCAAGATCCTGATGGAAGAGACCTGAAAGTGAGTAAATTACCCAGTGTGAAAGGTGTTACATCAGCACACCAGCATTTGTAGTCCATAATTAGGGCTGTGTGGACCAGAAGTGTTATCCATGGAGCCCCTGCAGTGGCCAACACTTGTCTCCCAATGCTCACTTCCACAGTGGGGCATTTGTGGCATTCCTGAGGAGCTGAAGTTATGAATAAGGTGTAGCAGATTTTGCTGAGAGATACAACAGGTCATACACATGAACTGTGTAAGGCCTGTGAGGGGATATGCTGAGCTTGAGCTGAACATCACTGCTCTCTTCAGCTTTGGGGGACAATCTCCATTCTTCTCTCTGCAGTTCTGGTAGTCCCAGTACCCTGATGCCTCAAGGGGAAGAAGACTCTTGGTACCTGGTCAGAGCACAGTGTTTCTCCTTGTGAGTTCTGCATCCCTGTGCCCTACACACACAGCCTTGGATGATGATTTTTAACTTTCATATCTCAAAGTATAGTAGAAAAAAATGTAATGTTTTGGACTGTTTCTAGATTCTCACCTGTTTTGCCTTATTTCTCTGTTTTCTGCCACCATCTAGGGTTTTCCTAGGGTGTTCCCAAGGCTCTGAAAACAAAGGTATTGGTCCAGTCATTTCCAACCTTGGCTTATGGGCAGAAGTCCTGATTAAGTAATATACTCTGAGCAGCATCAAGGTATCCCTGTCAGCCCTGGAAGCTGTGGGCTTGGTTTAGCTTTTTAACTTGTTTGTCCACATAGCAGTGGCAAAAGGCATTGCAAACAGGTGGTGGTGGCTGTCCACAGAGCGAGGGAACCCTCACTCTAAACCTTGAGAAGTACTCCAGGTTTAAGGTAGAATGTGAGAAGCATCCTGGGAGGTTTTCCCCCAATAATTTCTGTGTGCAGCAGGAGCACACTAGCCAAAAGGTGCTTTTTGACCTGCCTGAAATGGCCATGGGCTATATTAATACACTGTAGAGTTTTTTTATTTCTTCTGGTGAAAGTGAACAGTAATTTTTAATTCATTTTCCAAAACAAATAAACAGTATTTGCTTTGGAGGATTTGTGTTAGTCCAAATGGCTGATGATCCAGTCCAAAAGCTGATGGATTATTCTTTTCTTTTCCAATGGTAGGAAAATATGATGACCAAACATGATGCAGGTCCTTTTTTTTTTGAGGAACAAAAGCCTTGTATTTCACCTTCTGCATGTTTTTAAGTTGTTACATAAGTACAAAATAGTTAAGCTGAAAACCATAAACAGTAATATAGATCTAGCAGTTGATCTGCATGTTTATTTAACTCTGCTTTCAAAGAAGAGATTTGCATTAGAATTGAGACTCATATATTTTAAATTACCTATAAATCACATATAATTTAAGTTTCCTGTCAATTACAATTTATTTTTCACATAGCAGCTTTGCTAACTGAAATACAGTCAACCTGTCTCCAGCCATATATGCAGTGAAAAGTTCTTTTTCTTTTTTTCTTTCACTGAAATTGGGTGGAGAGCAGAAACCTGCACTATCAGAACTGTTTGCAGCATAGCAAGAGATCAGAGACATTTTGCAGGGCAAGCATCAAGACTTTGGAACAATCCCGCCCCAGCACATTTTCTACTCAAGTCTCCTCCTGACAGTGAGTGTCTGGGTCTGAAAATGGCCTTTCTCCAGTAACCACTGTGCATCCCTGAGCCTGGCAACATTATACAATAAACAGTCACCTTCTCTCTGCCTTCCCAAATGTATATAAAATTTGCCATGGCTGAAGTCTGTCTTTTGGGAAGTTCCAGAGGTAATTGTCTGGAGTTAACTTACAGGGCTCCTGTCAAAAGGAATTAGTATTTCAGCAACTCCTTGGTCAACTCCATGGCAGTACCAAAATAGCTGACTGCCTCAGACATCAGCTGGCCTTGCTTAGGTGGAGCAACTCAAATGTTTTTAAAAGCAAAATAGTTATCATGTTTCCATTGTGTCCTGCAGCAAAATTCTTCTGGCCAAAAAGGTTTCAAGGGAATGAGTGTCTTTATTTTTCTCTCTCTCTATCTCTATTTATAGCTTATGAACATTGGGAAATGTATGACAGGGAGCTGGAGGAGGAATGGATTTTAGGACTTGAAGGTCAAATATTTTGTTCAAGGGAAGCCTGAGTTGTTTATGATGGAAAGGACAGCCTGATGGCAAAGCTATGTGCTGTGTTTAAGGTACACAGCTGCAAAGAGAAACTGATTAAATTCAGGATCAGATCTTCAGTGGACACAATGGATTCTTTCTCACACACATACAGTGCTCATCTGGAGTCCAGAGCCTCTCTTGAAGCTCTTTTTGATATGAAATTCAGCAGCTTTTATGACCAGATCAAGTGCTCTTTTTTCTCATTGTTCATAACAGTATTTGCAGTATGAGAAAATAATACTCAGCACTAGTAAGAAATATTCAACAAAGTACAAATAAAACTGTGTTCCATCATGAATTTTTTTCCCTACAGCACACTTTCCCATGGTCATTTTATCCACTGATGACTGCATCCCAGCTGGAGCAGGCTGGCAAAATTAATCCAAAGTCCTTGAATTCAAGATGATTCAAATGGATGAGGGATCTTTTTCTGAGGTTATCAGTTTAAAGATGTTTGGCACTTGGCCTTCAAACTGTGAGCTGTCTAATCCCTATCTTGGTAAAGTCAGCAGCAATGTCTTCACTGACTTTAGCAGAAGTGAACCTTAGATCATTACTGCTCAGATATGATCCTTTGAACCATTTCACTCTCAACTGCATACAGCTGTGTGTCAGATGTGATTATTTCATTGCTTATTCAGGTTTTCTCTCATTTCCTTTTGCTTTTCTATCTCAAATGGTATTTCACCTTCACTGTTTCTTATTTTACCAGACTTAATTGGAAATGCATTGGTCTTACAATTTTTAACACTACGCATTCCTCCTGCTCCTTGTAATTTTCAACTCCATAGTCTGGGCTGGGATGTTAAAACATCTTTCCTAAAAGTAGAGTAGCACTTCATCTTGGAGTTCTTTGGAGGCAATGTCCAGCCACAAAATCTCAATCTAGGTACAAGGCTACTCAGAAATTGTCTTGATACTGATTCTTTTTAGACTTCTAAAAATTAAAAAAAAAAAGGTAAAAAGGAGAAAAATATTTAAGCTTGCATTATGTTGTACAAATTTTCCTGAACTATTGTTTTTCTTCTCACTTTGGGGAAAAAAAAAAGTAAACCAACAAATTTGAAATATGTCTGTGTTATAAGGCTCATTCTAATTCAGCTGACAGGTCTGGGTGATCCCAAATAAAACAGAGAAGGGTGGAGGGGTGAAAGTAACCTTCTACTGCTCTTACGTCACTTTGAATTGCATGTGTTCATGAACACACTCACTTCAGGTAGTGGTGATCCTCTCTTGTTAACTTAAATTAGGGGAAGCTTTGATTCTGTTCTCTTTGAGATGGTTTTTCTTATTGTATGCTGCAAGAGCTCAGTGTGTAGGAGCAATGTATAATATACATGTATGCAATGAGTATTTGACTCAAAAGCCAAAGCCCCGTAATCTCTGAATTATTTAAAATGGAGAACCAAATGATGATTTCAGCTGCAGTCAGCTGAGTAGGTGGTGTCAATAACTGACAAATTTGACCTAGTTCCTGTTTATTGTGATACCTGGTATTTTTGGCAAATTACATAAACAAATATCCTGGTATTTTTCTTGGCAAACAGCATGAATACCACTCTTGCTTTATTCTCTTTGTCCCAGCAAATGCTTTATGGCAAGTATTCATCACCAAATAAAGGGTGAGATCATGTGCAGTGCAAAGCCCATTAGGTCATGTATTTTGGCATTCTGCTGGGCTGCAAGGTCTGCCACAAACTTGGCCGAACTGCGCACGATGCTGACAGTGTTTCCCAGGCAATAGGAATCAGATAGCCTTTTTCCTTTGTGCACAGAAGTGTGTTCTTGATGTGGTGAGTAGTGGTGGTGTGCTACAGGGCTAGACTTGTTTGCCTAACCAAGACTTGTAGGTAAAAACGTGAAACTGAGATGTTTAAAATATGCCCTTGTTAGGGATTTTTTAAGCATTTACACCCACTTTTGCATTCATGAACTTTTTTCCCACCCTGTCTTTGCCCACCATCTCTCTAGCCTTTGTAGTACATCTCTGACACCTTCCTCTCCCACTGTGTCCCCTGCCCCACTGGTGGCTTCAGTCAGCTTTAAATACCATCCACTGCCATGAGTAATGAGCTCCTCTTGGGAGATTTCCCTGGGAAATCTGAGACTTTGGCTTCTCTGTCAGTATTTACTTTGCTGCTGATGGCTCTGACATGTGTCCTTCAGTTACCAGAGCAGAAGTCAAGGGGCCTTGTGCAGGCTGAAGCTCCTTTTCCAGCAGTGCCCTGTGGATATGAATATCTACCTTCCTCCAAGTCGCTTTTGAAACTCCTGCTAACTGGCTGACAAATGGAAGGTAGTCACCTCAATATACCCACAAATATGATTTTTAGGAATTACAGTGCACTGGAATTGCAGATGGGCTGCATGCACAATGCTTCTTACTCATGACCTTCTAAGCATCAAGCTTAATGAACGCATGGTGCCCCTGATGGCTGCAGTAGTCCACACATGTACTCTGTTGTTTTTCAGTGTTTCTCAGAATTGCATGGATGTAAAATTTACTGGAATTAGTGGAAGGACTCCATCTAGCAGCATGTGCCCTAATCAGTGGTGAAGAAGAGTTTACAGGCAACCTGATGGCCAGATCAATCCTGCAGTAGGTTACTAACATGATCTTGTGGAGGGGTCTGCTAATAGGCTGGGTTATTGTTCAAAAGAAGTTAAAAAAGGTGCTCCCAGAATTATTTCAGTTAGGTTGTCTCTTTTTAAAATACTCATTTTCATTCACTTTTCTCTGTGCTTTCCCTATAATAAAAAATCAACATTCACATTTTTGTAGCTTGGTCACTCTTCACCCATGTAAATGATAAATCTGAGAAAAGTAACTCAGTTTAAGGTGGAGCTTGAAATGTTTATGGAGGGAACCAAAAGACATAGTTACCTACCTTAATATGGACTCTGTGTGAGAACTGAGGGAGCCTCTTTCTGTCTTATTTTTCCAGAACACATGCTGTAAAAATTCTAAAGATACTAATCTGCATGTACCTGTTGCAGTACCTTTATGCATTTACAGCTTTATTCTAGACTAGCAACATGACTCTTGACAAATTCTTGTTATTTATAGTGGCTGCTGGCTGTACCTCCACCAGAAATCTTGGAGGATGTGGAAGATGAAGGACAATATTGGAATGTCTTGCTTGTGCTGCTGCTGTCCTTAGGTAATCACCTGGAACTGAGCATCAAAGGGACCCATCTGTTCTGCCATGCCCAGGGGGGAATCAGGTACAGGTGGTTTATCAGCTCCTCAGTGCAAGTGTTGCAGAGCTGTTTACATAAATCTTTTTAAATCTGCACCGAGGTGTTTCATGGCATGGTACAGAACTTTGTAAAGAAACAGTGGAATAAGCATCTCAAAAAGATGCATAGTATCAGACATTACTTCCCCATTATCTCTTGATATGCTCTAACAGGGCAGTTGATTGCTGATGGATGCAAGTGTTATCCTGATTTAAGTGAGACTCTGCAGCACTCATGCTTCTCTGTCAATTCTCTATTTCTTCATTGGTTCTGGATTAAATCTAAAAAACTGGCTTTGTTTATGTCCCTCTAAAAACTGGCAGTAGAGTTAGTGGTAAATAACTTACTTAGCTGTCTACTCTCACACTGTTTACTGTGGCTTCATTTTACATGATTTGTTTTGTTGAATTTTGCACACTCTCCTGCCCCCAAAAAAACTCTTCTGGATGGTGAATGACCTGCCACAAAACCTTCTTGTACCCATGGATGGCTTCAGGGCTTGTAATTATTCTGAAGCTCAGAGCTGTTACTTCTGAAAGACAAACACATACAAAAAACAGACCCAAACCAAATCAAACCAAAGTGTCTGGCATTCAGCTGGTGCTACCTTGGTCTCTGGACCCATGCTAGCCTGATTGTGGCTACTGGAATGAAGGACTCCACGTGTGAAGCTATCCCTGGCAGAGCAGAAAAGCTTCAAAGATTTTGATCACCCTACGTGGTACCGCACACATTCTTTTGGATAACTGGGCTAAATTGGGCTGACAGTGCAAAGTGCTGACAGTGCACCAGAGTGCTGTGTCCAGTTCTGGGCTCCTCAGAACAAGGAAAATGAGCTACTGGAGAAGGTCCAGCAGAGGCCCATGAAGATGGTTCAGGGACTGAGGGATCTGGGCCTGTTTAGTCTGGAGAGGACTGAGAGGGGATCTTGTTAGTGCAGATAATTAGATGCAAGGTGAATACCAAGACAATGGTACCACACAGCTTTTGGTGGTTTCCAGCAACAGGAAAAGGAGTGATGGCCATGAATTAAACCAACTCAAGATGAGGAAGAACTTTCCATTGAGGTTGGTAGAGCACTGGAACAGGGGGCCCAAGGGGATCATGGAGTCTCTCTCTCTGGAGAGATTACAACCCCAACTGGACATGTTCCTGTGGCACCTGCTGCAGGTGACCCTGCCTTGGCAAAGGAGATAGGATGGATGATCTCCAGAGAGGTCCCTCCCAACACTTACACTTCTGTAATTCTGTGATTTTTGATGTCAGAAGAGGCAGGTTGGAAAAATGGAAAGCCCATCACACATGAAAGCTCATGATGCTGGGCTGCCACAGAGATGGAGAACACAGCTTGTGTTTGAAGTTCTGGGATGGGAACAAAGGGGAGACTCCAGGGGTGACAGCTGGGGAGGTGGGGATATGTCCTGGCTGTTTCTGGGGTCAGGGTGTTGCTCCTGTGAAGGGATAGTGATGATGCCTGAGGGCCAAAAGAGAAGGGGGTTGAGAACATCCGAGATATTTTCAGTGTTCTGTGTCAGAAATAGTGCAGGACCAGGGAAGTGATTCTTCCTCCTGTACTCAGAGCTGCTGAGGCCACACCTCAAGTGCTGTGTCCAGGTCTGGACCCCTCAATTCAAATGGACACCGAGGGGCCAGAGTCCAGAGAAGGGAACGGAGCTGGGGAAGGGTCTGGAGCACAGATCCGATGAGAAGTGGGTGAGGGAGTAAGGTGGCCTAAGCCTGGAGAAAAGGAGGCTCAGGGGGGACCCTGTGTCTCTGCACAACTCTGACAGAACGGGACAGCCGGGGGAGGCTCTGCTCCTACGGAGCGAGATGACAAAGCTTCAATCTGCGCCAGGGAATTAGGAATAATTTATTCACAGAAAAGGTCGCCCGGCATTGGAACGGGCTGCCAGGGAGGTGGTGGAGTCCCCTGGAAGCGCTCAGGGAGCAGCTGGATGTGGCACTCAGTGCCGGACCGGGCGGTGTCGGCTCACCGCCTGCCCTCGGTGCTCTCAGGGGCCTTTTCCAGCATCCTTGATGCTGTGCTGCCGCGGGGGCGCGCAGGGGCGGGCGCGGGGGCGCGCCCCGGCCCGGGCGGCGCCACGTGGCCGCGCGGCCTCCGCGCTCCCGCCGGCAGGTGGCGCGCGCCCGCCGCTGCCGGGGCGCGGCGCGCTCCCGCTCCCGCCTCCTGCTCCCGCTCCTGACCCCACTCCCGCCTCCTGCTCCCGGTCCCGCTCCTGACCCCACTCCCGCCTCCTGCTCCCACTCCTGACCCCACTCTGGGCTCCGCTCCCGCTCCCGCTCCTGACCCCACTCTGGGCTCCGCTCCCGGTCCCACTCCTGACCCCACTCTGGGCTCCGCTCCCGCTCCCGGTCCCACTCCTGACCCCACTCTAGGCTCCGCTCCCTCTCCCGGTCCCGCCTCCCTCTCCCGTTCCCACTCCTGACCCCACTCTCGGCTCCGCTCCCGCTCCCGCCTCCCGCTCCCGGTCCCACTCCTGACCCCACTCCCGCCTCCCGCTCCCGCTCCTGACTCCACTCTCGGCTCCCGGTCCCGGTCCCGCCTCCCGCTCCCGTTCCCACTCCTGACCCCACTCTCGGCTCCGCTCCGCTCCCAGTCCCACTCCTGACCCCACTCTCGGCTCCGCTCCCGCTCCCGTTCCCACTGCTGACCCCACTCTAGGCTCCGCTCCCTCTCCCACTCCCGGCCCTCTCCCGCTCCCGGCCCCGCGCACGGCGCTGCCCCGGTGCCCGGCGGGGCCGGTGCCGCTCCTCGCCCGCCCCGCCGCCGTCGTGCTCCGCACACGTGCTGCGGGAGCGGCCCCGCCGGGCGCGGGGAGCCGCGGGCTCACCGCGGGCTCAGCCAGGCTGGAAACGGCTCTGAGATCATCGAGTGCGGCCTGTGACCCACCTTGTCACCCAGACCACAGCGCCGAGTGTGTTCCACTCTCTCCTTAAACACCTCCAGGGACAGTGACTGGGCAGCCCGGTCCAGTGTGCAATCCGCCGTTCCGTGAAGAATTCTTCCTGATATCCGACCTAAACCTCCCCTGGTGCAACTTGAAGCTTTGTCTTCTCATCCTGACCCTTGTTCCCTGGGAGCAGAGCCTAATCCCCACCTGGCTGCCCCTTCCTGCCAAGGAATTGTGGAGGGTGAGAGATATCTGAGCCTCTCGAGCTCCCTCAGCTGCTCCTTATCAGACTTCTGCTCCCCACCCTTCCCCAGCTCCATTGCCATTCTCTGGACTTGCTCCAGCACCTCATCATCTTTCCTGAAGTGAGTAACCCAGAACTGGATATAGGACTCAAGGTGTGGGCTCAGCATGGCCAGCACAGGGACGGGCACTGCCCTGTTCCTGCTGCCACACCACAGCTGGCACAGCCCAGGTGCCACTGGCTTTATTGGCCACCTGGGCACACCTGGCTTTATGTTCAGCCACTGTTGACCAGCACCCCGAGGTCATTATCCACTGAGGCACTTTCCCCCCAGCCTGTAGCACTTCAGGGGTAGAAAACGTGACCTGCCAACAGTCCTGTGGTTTCCCGTGTTGGCTGAGGCTCACATAGTGAACTCTGAATTTTGGTTGCCCCCTTGTTCTTTGCATTCAAATGATTGTATCTAGTTTTCTTTTCCTCTGAGCTTAGATTTGATTTCCCTGATATCCTTGACTAAGTTGCTTCCAGTGTTACCTTGTTACTCCAAACAGTCGTCTTTTCCACCAAACTGGTCGGTGTTCCATGCAGCATTACAAGATGCTATGTGCCAAAGACATTTTAAAATCTTTGTTGAGAGGAGGACAAGTGCCAGCAAAGCTTCAGCCCCGGACATGAGAAGAGCAGACATCAGGCTGATCAGGGAAGTACTGAGTCAGGTTCCCTGGAAAACACCTTTGAAGGTGCTCGGGTCCATCAGTGCTGGGCAGTTTTCAAGCACTACCTCCCAGGATCACAGAAGCAGACAGTTCCAGAATGCCGTAAGTCAAGCAGATGAAGCAGAAAGTCAGCTTGACTAAGTAAGGATGTCCTTTGCAAGCTTCAACCAAAAAAGGCATTTCCTCAGTGGGAGCAAGGTTGAGTGGCACTGAGGAATACAGAGATGCTCCTTGCCACAGTAGGGAGAAAATTTGTTCAGCCAAAGCCTAATTTGAGTTGGCCAGAACTGTGGGGGACAATAAAAAGAGGTTTTATTAAGTATGTTAATAGCAAAAGGTGGTCCAGAAATAACATGAGTCCACTGATGAGGATAGTAATTTCAGAAACAGGGACATGGACAAAACAGAGGTGTTGAATGCTTTCTTCTCTTCCATCTTCAGTACAGATGACAAGTTAAGGGATCCCAGGGCCCTGAGCTGGAGCACCATGGAAATGAGAATGATCAACTCCCAGTTGTTCCTGACCTTGCATAGGATGTGCTGTTCCAGCTGGATCCCTGTAGGTCTATGGAGCCTGATGGAATTAATTAAAAAGTAGTCATTGAGCTGCTGATATCATGGCAAAACCTCTCTTGATGATTTTTGAGCAGTCTTGAGAATATGGTAATGTCCCAGATGACTGGAAGCTGGTGAATGTCCCAGTTTTCAAGAACAGCAATAAGGATGACCCTGCAAACAATAGGCCTGCCAGTCTCACTTCAGTAACTAGTAAAATTATGGAGAAGATTGTTCTGGGAGATATTGAAAAACACCTGGAGGACACACTGGCCACAGCCAGCTCAGGTTTATGAGGAGAAAGTCCTTGTTAAACCTGATTTCCTTTTACAGTGACATGACCCACCTGGTTGATCAAGAGAAGACAGTTGATATAATCTTTCTGTATTTCACCAAAGCTTTCCATACTGTCTTTCCCAGGATTCTTCTGGACAAAATATTCATCCCACAGCTGGATAAACACATCATGTGATGGGTGATTAATGGCTCACAGATCAGGCACAAAGGATTATGGTGACTGAGGTGACATCAGACTGGGGACGTGTTGCTGGTGGGGCTCTGCAGGGCTCTGTTCCTGGCCCTGTGCTCCTCAGCATCCTCAAAAATTACCTGTATGCAGGACAGGAAGGGATACTGGGCAAAGTTGCCAATGATAGTAAGTTGGGAGGAGCTGTTGAATGTCTCAGAAGTAGAGAGGGCTGGACAATCACCAGCCATAGGAATTTTAAAAAGAGAAAGTGCAGGAGTCTGCCCCTGGGATGGGGCAACCCTGGATGTATGGACAGACAGGAAAGAGATGTTGGAGATGGTGCCGTGGGATGGTCCTGGGACTCCTGGTCAGTGGCCAGCTGGAAACGAGCCAGCAGTGCCCCGGAGCCAGGAGGGACATCCCTGTCCTGGGGGCACGGAAAAATACTGCTTATAATTTCAAAAGAGTAGCTAGAATACTGAACGTACTCCAGGATCTTCCTTCTAAGTTCTCCAAACTTCTCACTGGGTCTGTAGTATAAAAACAAGCCCCGATAACTGA